TTTTGAATACATACTTTTTATAGTTTTGCATATATATTCTTTTTTAGTTTGCATACATATTTTGTTTTAGTCGTGCATACATATTCTTTTTAGTTTGCATACATATTTTATTTTAGTTTTTTTTGTACATAATTATTTTTGTTTTGTTTTTTCGTACATATTTTTAGATGACGCCACTTGCAAAGTAGCGGTTTGGATAATTACACAATGTGTAAAACACCATTTTTAAACACTTCGCCATCTGTAAATTACTGTACCCCATTTTGCAAATGCCATTTGCAAATACCAACATTTTCATTTTTGGAGGTATCAATAAAATAACAAAAAAAAAGGTTCTGCATATGGTCTCGATGTGGTTAACATTTGTCACATGGTGCCTTAAAACCCAAGGCATATTGAAACCCAAGTCTTTATCTTTTGACCTGTAGGTGTGATCCCGACCTTGAACCGGCACACCTGGCATATGAGTTCTGCACATTATCTTGATGTGCTTATGAATTGACCTAAGTTTCATAATTCTCAATTCTCAGGGGATGGGGTTGAGTGGTGGTTATTCATGGAATAATAACTGACCACCAATCAACAGCCTTTTCCAAATAGACACTAATATAATAATATATATTATATAATAATAAAAAACAATAATTATATAATAAAAAAAAACAATATATAAAAAATGGGCCGAAAAGGGTCTGCCGAAACCAGACTTGCTCGGCCGAAAACGACTGGGCCGATTCCAAAAATGGGCCGAAATGTGACCAAACCACTGTGCTAGTTTTAAACTCAACTATGAGCTGTTATGAGATTCGAAGGCTGTTTTAATTGGCTAAAATATGTATGAAAAACAAAAATAAAATATGAATGCAAAACTAAAATAATATGTATGCAAAACTGAAATAATATGTATGCAAAACTAAAATAAAATAAGTATACAAAACTAAAAACAAAAAAATGCAAATGTCACTTTTATGCCACCGTAATTTTGTTATATGAACACAATTATTAGAAATTTTAAGTGGTAATATTAATGAAACTTTTATCACTTAAGCATCATAAAGAATTGACCGCCATCTTGAACTCCACCTCGAATATTCCAATGTCGCAGATATAACGTAAGTCAGTACTCAGTATTTAAGCAGAGCTCAGATGACACCTTTAGACCTCTTGAACCCAAAGTGCGTTGATATGTAGCATATTAACGCACTTTGGGGTCAATTTCTCGATTTTGACCCCAAAGTGCGTTGGACCCCAAAGTGCGGTGCGAAGTTTAACGCACTTTGGGGTCGGACCCCAAAGTGCGTTTGACCCCAAAGTGCGGTGTTACAGTGCTTTCACACTAGCATATAGTCAGTGAGAAGTTTTGTTTAAAAGTAATTAAAAAATGATTGATCAATTTTAAAAATTAAGTACCAACATATATATTTAAAATAAAGAATAATAAATTATAAAAATAAATTTCAAAAAATAAGTGATGAATAATAAGTTATAAATAAAGGTTAATGCCACATATGACTTATAATTATGTCTAAAATTTGTTGTATACTATTTGTGTGTCACTTTCTCATGTTAAACACAGTTAATCATTCTTACTTTTTATCTTGAACTTGCCTCATCTTTTATACTTTTGATTTCAGGGAAACACCACACCACACCAGGATACAAAACAAAAAGTGGACGTGGGAAAGGTCGACGATCAAAATTCAAAGTTCAGTTAGGATGGCAGCATTACAGAAACAATTCATATAGAGAAGTTACAAATGCAAAGGGTGGTGGAACCCGAACAGTTTCTTCAGATAATATGTCAATTTGTTTGATAGATCCACTTGGAGAATGTTCGTGAAGTTGGCCAGATAGCCGGAACAGCCGGAGATGCGGGAACAGATTTTCGTCTCGTCCGGCTGTTCTGGCTACTCCGGCTAGCCAGAATAACCAAAATTAAGTCTATTTAAGATGAACAAAAATCCGAAAACAGATTTATGAATATTTGTGTCGTGTAAAGTGTGATGGTTTGTCCGCGAGTATAGGTGTGTCCGTTTGGTATATTCTGGTATTTTGCCGACGATGAGCCAAATATCGTACTATATATGGTCATTTCAGTTCATATCTCGCCAAATCCATATTTAGAAATTATATTAGCACTCAGTTAGCCATTTTCGTACTATAGATATACTTTGTAAATAATGACCTTTACGTTTATTTTATTGTGCATTGAGCTTTTCTACTGCTCCATACATGTGCAATGAAAATATCTTGAAAAGTGACTGTTTCGCACCTCTTTTTTTTTACTATTCAGACCCGTAAACTTTTTAAATTTAAGAGTAAATTTCCAAATTAAAACATGCCTCAATATATCACACGTTCTTTCTCAAAATATAGAAGGGAACATCAAAATTTTCCCAATTACTTGTATCTTTAAGACAAGAGAAAAAAATCTTACCAGAGAAATCAGCTGAATGACCATTTATAGTACGATATTCCGCTCAACGTCGGCAAAATACCAGAATATTCCAGAAAGAAACACCTATACCAGCAAACACATGGTCAGACTCCCAAACCCTCCCACCATAATGGGGTTCTGCGTAATTGAATCTGTGCCTTACAGGGCCAGCTGGATATGACGAGATATGAGCTGAAATGTCAATTTATAGTATGATATTCGGGTCAAGGTCGGCAAAATACCAGAGTATTCCCGACGGACACACCTATATAAAAGTGGACACACGGTCAGACCCCGTAACAATCCCACCATATTTTATTCTGCATAATTGAGACTTAGTTTCACAGGGGCCAGTCGGTATTGGCGAGATATGAGCTGAAAATGACCATTTATTGTACGAAATTTGGCTTAACGTCGGCAAAAAATACCAGAGTATTTCCGAACGATACACCTATACCATCGGACACGTAGTCAGACCCTCTAACCATCCCACTAAAAGGGGTTCTGTGTAATTGAGGTTGGGCTTCACAAGGGCCAGCCGGAAATGGTGATATATGAGCTGAAATGTCAATTTATAGTACGATATTCGGCTCAACGTCGACAAAATACCAGGGTATATATTCCCGACGGTCACACCTATACCAGCGGACACACGGTCAGATCCCATAACTATCCCACCATATGGAGTTCAGCGTCATTGAGGCTTGGCTGAACAGGGGCCAGTCGGACGTGGCGAAAATGAGCTTAAATGAACAATTGAAGTACGATATTCGGCTCAACGTCGGCAAATAACAGAGTATTCCCGACAGACACACCTATACCAGCGGACACACGGTCAGACCCCCCTAGCCATCTCATTATCATCCAATGATATGGGGTTCTGCGTTATTGAGGCTGGACCTCAGGTGGTTCGGCCGAAATCGGCGAGATATGAGCTGAAATAACCATGTATAGTACTATATTCTGCTCAACGTCGGCAAAATACCAGAGTATTCCCAACGGACACACCTACACCAGCGGACACACGGACACACAATGCACGACGCACATATTCTTTAATCTGCTGTCGGATTTTTTTTTCATCTTAAGTAGCCTTTATTTCGGTTATTCTGGCTAGCCGGAATAGCCGGAGATAGTGGTGATAAGTAATTTGATACTACATTATGGAATTATCCAATGATCTTTTGCACAGGTTTTACCGTATCATCTCTGGCCAGCCAAATGTTCTTATGCAGAATATCTGAAAGCACAAGGAATGTTCTCATTCCAGTGTCATTTATATGTTAGAACAAAGTCTTTTGAGCCCAACTGTAAACAGTCTTTATTGTGTGGGGAGAAAACAGAATCATAATATGTGAAGAATTCATTTTTGAATTTAGACAGAAGTGTTGAAGCTACTTGTGTTGTGTATGAAAAGATAAATGCATCAGTGTATTATTTCCCATGATCGCTTAAGCAATACGTTTATTGTGGCAGCAGCTGTATGTCCATCCCGTCCCGTTATATTCAGTTGTGTTGCTCCAAAAATACTTTTGTTAGAGTTTATGAACTTCACAGGAATGTTGATCAGCATTTAAAGTTGTGCATGTTGGGTTTCGTTTGTGGGTTAATTCAATACTCTAAGAATTATTGCCCTTACATTTAATCATAAATATTTGAAATATTCACATGTCATGTGTGTGGGGTGCATCTTTGTCCTTTGGATACATTTCTCGTTGGAAGTTTGTTTGTGTTTATCAGTATCTTTGATTTTAACATTGAAAGATTTGTTGTAAGTTCATTACTTAATTTATTGAAGCCGTTGAATAAAATTATATTATGCTCGCCAGAGGCTTGTTTATTACAATTTTATACGTTAACTCGTTCAATAAATCCAGTATTAAACTTACACTCATTCAATTTAATCTATATACTGATACTTAGTACAACTAAAGTGACAGCAGAATTGCTAGAATTGAAGTACACGTTTTCATTTTATAATATTGCATAGCACTGGTTAACTAGGAGGACAAACAATTTATAAGGCAATAGCGAAAATTCGTCTTGTTTAATATTAATATAAACAGTTGTTGGCAAACGATGTTTTATCAATATATGTATGCTTCCGACATTTCAATGAAAATAAAATATTCAACCTTTAGTAAATTGATATTGCGCGTATTTTCATAGTCATTGGTCTATTATATTATTCTATTATATTATCGTTGCTCAAACATTATTTGTGTTATCATTGTGTTTTCGGCTGCCATGTTGATTCATTCAAACAGAATCCAGTGGCTGGTGAATATAAAGTAACATTCAGACATTTAAAATTGTGAAAATAAAAATAGTTTCGGATATATTTAGAATGGGCAGAAAAAAGTTGCTTTGGAAAAGAAGTTGTATGTTTAAAGCAACTCTTTTACTCGGATGTTTCATAGTTACTGTATATGTAATAGCCATACAATTTGGTGGCAAATTACATTTTCTTCGAAAAAGCCTTTTCGTTTATAGTGCACCCGGAAAACAAAAAGTTAATTTGAAGGTAAATGTGGACACTCGGCTAAATAATGATAATAACAGAATGGATGCACGCGCACTGGAAGATACAATACGTCAAAAGTCTTCTCAGCCTAACCATGAGAGTGATTGCCATAACAACTGGACTATACTGCTCACAGTTAACAACGCTTATTTTGACTTTTTTCAGAACTGGCATTTGGCTTACAGCAAATTGAATATTAATTACCCAATAATCATCGTAGCAGAAGACGTTTTAGTTTATGAAAAATTAAAGCCATTTCAGTCTGAATCGGTGACAATAGAAAAAAGTGGGCATGAGGATGTTAAAAAATCTGCAGCGTACGGGAGTAAAGAATTTAGCAAATTAGTTTCTCAAAGACCAACGCATATTTTGAGGCATCTGACAAAAGGAGTAAATATTCTTTACTCGGATATAGACATGGTTTGGCTTAAGAATCCATTCCCATATTTCAAAGGTGATTTTGATATGTGGATTGAACTTGACAGCATTAACAATTATTGCACAGGTCTTATGGCAATTAAAAGCAACAAAAATTGTTTGAGACTTATTAAGACCTGGCAAAATTCTCTGCAGCTCAAGCAAGAAATAGATCAAACAGCATTTAATAAAGTAGTAAATAAAGCTCCTATAAATATTTCAATTTTAGACAACCGTATATTCCCGACTGGTCAACAATATTTTGGCACGTTAACGGACAAACAGCGAGCATTAGCAATAGTCGTTCATAACAACTGGATAGTAGGGCAGACAGCAAAGCTGGAGCGTTTCAAAAAATATAAACTTTGGTTTGTTCCTGTTTAACGAATGCGACTGGAATTTACCATTTATTAACTATGTATAGTACTGTCGAAACTGATTTGTTATTTGTTTTATCATTATTGTATTATGATGTTTATGACTTACAAAGGTATGGGATAAGTGTCAATATCTTTCTTTACTACTAAGATTATGGTTAGAGATTGTTCCATCTAAAATAGGGGGAAATCTTTTCGGACAAATGAAACTTTTAATTTTGATTTCAAGACAATTTTTTGTTTTAGCATCCATTAACATGATTTCTGTTGTCCTCAAAGAATGTTGGTTTGTTTGTTGTTGTTGTTTTTTATCATTATTTATTTGTTGTTGTTGTTGTTGTTGTTGTTGTTGTTCGTAGGGGGTTTTCGTTGATTTTCCTTTTTTGGGGCTAAGGGAAGTTTATGTGGGAGAGGGCTAAGTGTTTTTGGGGTTATTTTGGACGCGATATCGCAATCTTGTGCTGTCGATTCCAATTGCTTAGTCCCAACAATATCCATGCTTAGGTGTAACGATATAGTTCAATGCCATTAACTTAGTAAAGTAGAACAAATCCTTTTAAAGATATCGATTGAATGCTGTTTCATAAAAATACAAAAAACAAATACAGTATGTGAACCTTTTATGGGGAAATACTACAATTTTATGTTATATTTGTTTCAAAATGTTCTCATTCTCAATATTTATCTAGAATATTTTTTCCAACAGAAGTTCATTCTCCTGGTCAGTATGTAATCTATGTAGTCCATCCGCCCTTGACCGCCTCCGTGAACGAGGGGTTAGAGTCGATGAATTCTAATCCAGTTACCTCTCTGGCGTGGGTTCGATCCCCAAGAGATGCTTTGGTAGTTTAGCTCGGAGGAAGGTAGTCTAGAATTGGTGTAACTCTCCAGGAACGATGGCTAGGAAACTTCCTATATGACTGAAGTACTGTTGGGAAAATGCGTAAAATGAAATAAACAAACAAACAAGATCCGCCCTTGAGGGCAAAAAAAGCAGCTTTTACTATTATTAATATGCCACTTTGACAGGCAGGTGGAATAAGCATCCTGTGTACACATTACATTTCTAACATACATGTATATTACATGGAAGGATCGGTAACTAGAGGGTTAAGTGGCTGTTGTATTAGTCTTAATTACATAAATGAAAATAATGGAATGTCAATAAAAAATCAATTTACAGTCAATACTAACGGAAGTTACAACTTACATAGGGTCATCTCTGTGGATTCGAATTTCAACAAGAATTTACATTCTTTCATCAAGATAGCTTACTTAACATATTTCAAGGCTATGTAATATATTGTAACGTCTTTGGCATTACTTAAGTGCCTGCTCATGCTTGAAATAACGTACATTTGGGCAACGGAGGTCTCCCTCTAACATTTATGCTAAAAATTCCAAAGATAACCTTAACCGTGTCGGTATGACTTAAAGCTCAACAAAATAGATAATTGATATATTGATAAGTTTTAATCATGTCTTTCAAATTTTACCCAACAGATGCTAAATAATCTACACAGGTCAAAAGGTATACAACTAAATTTAGTGAATATAACTAGTCCACTTAACACTGACATACTCAAAGGCGAGCTATTTGAACCAGTATTGTCAACTGAAAGTTGTCCAAATGATTCTTGTTGACCATCTACCAAGATTATATAAAAAGTTCGTAGTAAAATGTTGCAGTCATGGGTTTGAGTTTTCAATCTCTATAGCTCACTTAACGTATTCATTAAGGTGATACATATTAGCTTCCGTTGATTTAATATTTATTTTTCTTAACTTATATACATAGCATACAAATGGATGTCGCGATTGCTGATGGCTGAAATATCTGTTTAGTCATAAAATGTGTAAGTTCAAGTACATACATATCACCTTACTGGGTCGGGTTACTTTCCCTTGTATGTTAAGAGATATTGTACATTTTATTGAGCGATACAGGGCCATCATGGTTCTCTTGTTACAATACAGGACTTGATTCAATACAGTATGATGTCGGTAAAGCTCTTTAATGTTGGACATAAACTTATTCATATCTGCTGTTGAAGGCAATTTATACTTAGTGCTGATACATCGGACACAGTGTTTATTTTTTCTTGAACCGGTAAAGCACCCAACCCCGCCGAACGTCAAAACAGAATCCCTAAAGAAGGCCCAACACGGCAAAATTGAAAATTTTGAAGGCTAAGTTTGATTGAGCCTGTTCATGGACGGTACTGTAAAGTGTAAACTTTAATCTAACATGAACTTGTACAATTTTGAAACATCCGCATATGTGTTTGTATGGTGGTTACCATGGAACCTTCAAATCTGTCATTCCTATGGTCTCCAAGTCAACAAATGCGTGTCCTCTAAACGGGAAACAATGGCCAAAATTAAACAAAATATAATTTGAAACGAGGATCAGAAGTTCTGAAGCCTGTATTACATTCGCCCTCGTGTCATAAAACGTTACGTCAAGTCCATGATACTCGACATCCTTGTGACCCTACCTTTTATTGACGAAAATATCCGAACAAATGCATTACATTCAGTTAAATTCACAATATTACAATCAGTTATTTGTTTCTTGACTTAAGCTCTAAACATTATATTATTTCTTACGGAAAATTCGTCCCTATGATTCCAAAACTCTAATATTTTTTGGACAGCCATTTCTAAGGTTAGACCCCCTGTCAAGTATAGTCCGTTTAAACGTCTTATTTATTTATTTATTTTAATGTATAACACTTAAGTAGTAGGTATTAAATGGCCTAAAAAGGACTCAAACATCATTTTGTTTCAACACTGGAAATAAAGCCAGTGAATCGCAAGTTATACTTAATTTTTACATAAAATGTTTACTTAAAAGGAAATAAAAATAAAATACCAGTGGGTCAATCAATGAATTTTTGTTATGTTTCTTTTGAAAAGTAATTTTATGTTTAAAGCAACTCTTTTACTCGGATGTTTAATAATATATCTCATTGTCATACAATTTAGAAGCAAAGTATATTTTATCCGAAAAGACCTTTTTGTTTTATATGGTGCACCCGAAAAACAAAAAGCGGATAGTGTGTTAAAGATAAATGTGGAAACTCGTCTTAACAGAACGTATGCGCTGGAAGATCAAAATGTAAGGCCTCAAAAATCTTCTCAGCCTAACCACGAGAGCCATTGCTATAACACTTGGACTATACTTTTCACAGTAAACGACGCTTATTTTGACTTTTATCAGAACTGGTATTTGGCTTACTGCAAATTGAATATTAATAACCCAATTATTATCGTAGCAGAAGATGAAATAGTTTATCAAAAAATAAGACCATTTCAGTCTGAATCAGTGACAATAGAAAAAAGTGGACATGAGGATGTTAACAAATCTGCAGCGTACGGGAGTAAAGAATTTTGCAAATTAGTTTCTCAAAGACCAGCGCATATTTTGAGGCATCTAACTAAAGGAGTAAATATACTATACTCGGATATAGACATGGTTTGGCTACAAAATCCATTCCCGTATTTCAAGGGTGATTTTGATATATGGCTTGAACTTGACAGCATTAACAATTATTGCACAGGTCTTATGGCAATTAAAAGCAACAGAAATTGTTTGAGACTTATTAAGACCTGGCAAAATTTTCTGCTGCTCAAGCAAGAAATATATCAAACAGTATTTAATAGAGTATTAAAAAGTGCTACAATAGATATTTCAATTTTAGACAACCATATATTCCCGACTGGTCGGCAATATTTTGAAACTTTTACGGACAAACAGCGGGCATTAGCTGTCGTCGTTCATAACAACTGGATAATGGGGAAGACAGCAAAGTTGGAGCGTTTCAAAAAATATAAACTTTGGTTTGTTCCTGTAAAACGAATGTGACTGGAATTTTAATATATCATTTCTTGAATATGTATAGTACTGTCGAAATTAATTTTTGATTTGTTTTATAATCATAATATTATCATGCTTATGTTCATTCAAAGGCATGGGATTAGTGTCAATATCTAGTTAAACTATCATTTGATCATAAATTGTTCCATTTTTGTCTTTGTGCAGATGACATTTAAGTAATTGAAATCCCTTAAAATAAAAAAATTAAAATTTTGATTATTATAAATTCTTGTTGCAGCATCAAGGATCATGTTTTGTTTGGTTGTTGATTTTGTTGTTGTTTTTTTATTGTTGTTTTGTTTTGAGGTGTCTTTTTAATAGGGAGGGATGTTTAAGGGAGGTTTGCAGTCTTGTGCTATCGTTTCTGTTCTATATCGATACACCTTGAAACAGACTTTAGTTGTTGATGATAAGCTCCATCTTTATAGCATGCTACAAGTAACATCGCTCACCTAATTGCCAAAATCTTGAAATATAAAGACTCTTTCTAGGTTAAATTATATCATAGTAACTTTTACCTGGACATCTCATTTGAGATATAATATACTTTTCACAAAAAACAAACGTACAACATGGTGTCTGAAATGTATTGAAAACTAAATTTAATTTCACCTGAAATTTGGACCAAATTGTTATTGACTGAAAAACTCTCTGGAATTAATCAACCAACCATGAACTGGGGCAGTGTATATTTACCAACAACATGGGAAAAAAGATATGTAAAGTTGATATTCAGTGGACCTCTCAAAGAAAAATCAGACGAAAAGAGGATTTCATAACTACTTATATGGGTAGTAGAAAAGGGGCAAGATATTATGCAATCCTGGAATTTAAACGCATATTAAAGAAAAAAGATAGACACATACTTCACCAAATTTCAAAGTCACATTTAACCAAAATTGAACCCAATCTTCGCAAGATATCAATTTAATAACGAAAGGCAAGGTGACGAAAACATAGTAACATGCGTCACAAGATTAAAAATGAAAGCAAACGAATGCAGATGCCAAGATGGGACAATGATAAAATGATCAGAGACCGCATTGTTTTCGGGGTAAAGAACCAAAGGCTATGGGAGAAATATATTGCGCAGAGCTATTTGTGTTGACTATTTTTGTTGTCCATGG